TGCTGGCCACAAAGGAAAACATAAGTTTATTATAGAGAGATCTGGCTGTCTCAACCTTAAACCAGTTAGCAATTTTAGCATCACTAATAGTGGGACAGCCAGACGTTTTGCACCTTCTGAAACTATGCAAATGAAGGCATACAGCATCACCTATAAAGCATTTTGATTAAAAAAAAAAAAACTTTAACCAGATATAATCAAGATATTAGATCTAATTTTTGATTTACAGGAAATACAGGGGATATAAAGGATACATACAGGGGAAATACACCACAAGGAAACACTGAGACAGATCCAGAAGGTGGGAATGCTACAGAAAAAGTAACCTCGTCTCTTCAACAAGACGTCAAAAATGGGTGAAAGTGGAGGGTGGAAGTCTATACTAATTTAAAAGAAAATTAAGAAACATGAACACGTGCAATCATAGTCCTTGACTGACTTCTGTTTTTGAACAAAACAGCTGAAGAAAGACACTTTCGGAAACATTTGAGAAATTTGAATATGCTCTGAGCATTACATTATATTAGGGAATTATCGTAAATTTTGCACAGTGTCATGATGGTATTTTGGTTATATGGGAAAGTCCTTATTTCTTGGATACACATATTGTAATATTTATAAGTGAAATATAATTTTCTTTTAAATACTAGAAAGCAAATATGACTGTTAAGCTGTTAAGTCAAGGTGATGAGTATAAGAGTATTCACTATGTTCTCACATCCTTATTTTTGTATGTTGGAAAATTTTGTATAAACTTATAAAGAGGCTTAATGGGAAACTACTGAAACATGAGAGCAAAGTGATCAGATTTGAGCTTTAGAAATCTCACTCCCTAGCTCATAGAGTGACAAGAGTGGAAGCAAACAACCATTAGGAAATTACTGCAATAGTCATGATGAAAAAGTACAGTGGTTTCCACAGGGCTCCGGTAGTGAGTATGGAGAGAGGTAGACTTATGTGAGATACATTTCGCAGACAGAAACCACGAGATTGTTGATGGGCTGGTGGTGGGAGGGATCCGGAGAAAGAGAGAGTAAAGACTAATAACAAAAACTACTACGTATGCAGTGTTTACTATCTGTTAGTCTAGTCATTGTTCTAAGTGACTCACAACAGTTGGACTCATTTAATCTTCACGACCACCATTTGAGGTAGGTACTATTAGCATCCTCATTATACAGATCAGGAAATTTGGGCTCAGAGAGGTTAAGCAACTTGCCCAAGGTTATACACCTAGCAGATGGCATTGCTAGAACTGGAATCCAGGCACATACTTCTAACCATCCCTGCTCTTAAGGATGACGCTGGCACCGTTGATTAAGATGCCTAAGAGTACCTATTCTATTCACTTTTCTTCTCCTTACCTTAAGGTTTATACTCCTCTATCATGTATCTTTCCCAGCTCCCAGCTCCCAGCCAACTATAACCTTTTTCGCCAACCCTAAGACTAGGGAATAGTAGTGGTGGTCCTTGGGGAGGAACATATGTCCAAAATGGGTTGGCCAAGTGGGAATTCTACTGAGGTGCCTACTATTTGGTGGGGGAAGAAAGGGTTGAGCAGGTACCCCGCTAAGACAGGGCTCTTACGCCATGTGTGACGCAAATAAACGTAAGAGCCGGGGGTGGGAATGTCGTCACTACCTACCTGCGATTGGCTGAGTAGCCCTGGGCGGGACGTGTAGATCCCTCCGTTGTAGGTGGGTGGGGAGTGGCAGGCCCCGCCTCTGTCCCTCTGACTAACTCCAGCCGGCGTCGCTGCTGCTTGGCCGGCGGAGGGAGAGCGCGGAGCCGGGAAGGATGCGGCGCCCGCGGCGGCCTGGGGGTCCCGGGGGATGTGGGGGTCTCCGGCTGCTCCTCTGTCTCCTGCTGCTAAGCAGCCACCCGGGAGGCTGCAGCGCCATTAGTGCCCACGGTCAGGAGAAAACCTGGGGGGATGGGAGAGGGAGCTGGGAGCAAAACCGGGGGGGGGGGGAGGGGGAGTGTCATGAAGGTAGGAAGCTCGGATAGAATACGTGTGTAGGGTGGAGGAGGAGGGAGGCACTATTGTGAAAAAGGCGGGAGGACATCTGGCAGGAAAGGGGCGTAAGCCTGGAGGTAGGGCTCGGAATACGGGGGCGGGACCTAGGAGAAGCGGGCTCAGGGGAAGACTACGGGTTCGAGAGGAAGACTGGGGGTGTATATGGGCAGAGGGACCTAGAGCCGGGATACAAGACCTCAGGAGAAGCAAATCGCGCCAAAGGGCCAGGGAGGTAGTGTCCGGCGCCGCGAGTTGGGGAGTGAGGGGTTGCGAAGGGAACCAGGAACTCGGTGTCCAGGGCCGCGGGCATCGGAGTCCCGGTTCCGGTAGAGGATTGGGCAGAGGGAGGGGCCAGAGTTTCTCTTTAAGCCTAGAAAGAGGCCGATTGCTGTGATCCGATCTCCGATAAGAGGGGGGCTGCTGAGGAAGGGGGCAGGAGAGGATGAGGAGGGAAGGGTCCCTCCCGTCCCCCTCCCCACAGCCAGGCCGGGTGCTGACTCACATCTGAGCGGACTGATACAGTCAGCGCTGACTCATGGGCAGGGGGCAGGCGGGGGGGCGCGTGGTGGAGGGGCTCAGCCTCGCCGTCTGGCGCCCCGTTTCCCCACTTGGGCTTGGAGACCAATTCAGGGTGCTTCCCGTGGCGCTGTGTGGGCAGGGTGGTGGATGGGGGTAGAACGGAGAAGTCAGGTCTTGTGGAGACTCCTCGCCCTGTCACTCCTCCCTCTCCCGGTAACTGCCTCCAGACGAGCCCTCGGCCACACCGGCTCAGAGATTCAGCACCGCGGACAGCGCTGGCCGCAAGGGGGCCGGACGACCGTAGGGGCAATGCCCAGGGTCACTCCTTTTTCTTTTCAGTGTGGGGAGCGCTGCATTAGAGACGCCCTCTTACCCTATTCCCCTACGGGGTGTGTGGGGGGAAGTGGGGGGGGGATTTCTACCTCTTCTGACCTCTAGCCCATCATAGGATGCTTTTAGAGATTTTGGAAGGAGAGTTGCCCTTTCCCCAGAATTTGACCAAAAACTCCCATAGTAATTCTATGAGAGCAGAAGTATATGATTCTCCAGCACCACTTCCCCCCATGCACCTGGAAGATATTCTCCTCATTACTCAGTTAAGCAAACTGAGGCTTTTAGGGAAAGGATCCAGACTCGTAAATCCTAAAAATCCAAAGCCAGGTCCCATACTGCCTTCTCTTAAGAATTCTAGACCTCTTCCTTACTCTCCTCCTAGCTTAAGGCCTCCCTTTGAATGAAAGAGTTGGCCCCACCTGCTTCCCCCTTTCGCAGCCTGTCTGTCTCTCTGGCCATGTGATGTATGGGGTGTCTGAGTCTCTGTCTGTCCCTCTACAGGTTGTCTGTTTGACCGCAGGCTCTGCTCTCACCTTGAAGTCTGTATTCAGGGTGAGTGAGGCCTAGGCATAAGAGTCACAAGACTGGGAGTAGGGGGCAGGGGAACACAACAAGAAAGAAAAGGGATGAGGAGGTCTGGGAGGGATGAGGGGGTCCTGGGCTTGGGGGAGGGGCTGGCATAGAGGAGCAGGCTCTCTGAAGCCAGGAGAGTAGGTGGAAAGAGTTCTGTTCATTTTCAGCCTGGACTTTGGAAGGCCTCTTTTGCAAGCCCCCTGCTAATACCACTTTTGTGCTCTTAGATGGCTTGTTTGGACAGTGCCAGGTGGGAGTGGGGCAGGTCCGGCCCATTTTGCAAGTTACCTCCCCAGTTCTCCAACGCTTACAAGGTGTGCTCCGACAGCTCATGTCCCAAGGTGAGGTCTGGGTGCACTGGAGAAGAGACTAGAATTTGGTTAGATATGTGTGCTGAAGTGAGGGTTGCCTAACCTGAGGACAGGCTTTCTTCTACCCCAAACTCTCTTCATGAAATATTCCTATCACAATCACTTCTGGAACCTCACCTTCCCAGACCTTGATGGAGAAGGGGACAAGAAGAGTGGGAGTGGAGCCCTAAAGATGAGCTGTTCATACTTGGACTCTGGAGGGACCCGGCAGAGGCTTCTAGAAGAAGCTACTGGAAGAGGCCAGCATCCATCTCCTTGTGACTAGTTCCACTCCCTGGAACTGTCTGAGTGCTCTAGAGCCAGAAATACTGGAGTCCTCAGCTAGGAGAACATCCCACCCATCCAATTAGTAAGAAATAGGGGAGAATTGCTGGGAGGATGTTCTTGAGTAGGTAAGAGGGGATAGAATCTATTGCTCAAGAGGAAGAATAGGCTTTAAATTGGAGCACAGATAGTCCATCTAATGTTAATAGGCAAGAAGTCAGAGTATGAAGGTATGGATGCTGGTAGATTCTAGAATGTGAGTTAAGAGCAGCATAGATTATATGTCCAGAAACAGGGAAGAAGGAATGCAGGTGGAGAGTGGGAGATGATTCCTTTGGAATATGCGACTGATTTTTCCTGAGAACAGGGTTTCATGAGGAAAAGGCCAAACAGGAGACCTGCTTCAGGATAATGGTGATGATAATGGTGATGATAATATTAAGTGTTTAAAACAAATGTATAGTGCTTTAGGGTTTTCTGAGTATTTTCACTTGCCTGAACTTACTTCATCTTCACAATAGCCCCATAAAGCAAGTATTATTCCCACATTAAAGATCAATAAAGTGAGGTTCAGGATCAGCCGAGGGAATAATAGTAATAGCAATAATAATTATATAATGGTAATAATAATAGTATTTATTGAAATTTCATTATGCGACAGGCACTGTTTTAAGCATTTCATCTGTGTTTAGTTATCACAAAAATCTTAGAAGGTATGAATCCCCATTTTACAGATGAGAGAACTGAGGTTTAGAGAGATTGGGCTATTTGCCCAAGGTCAAACAATTTGTAGGTGGCATAGGCAGGATTCAAACATAGGCAGTCTGACTCTAAAATCTGTACCTGAGGGCAGGAAGAGGACAGCTCAAGTCACCCACCAGGTCTCCAAACCCCCTCCACTACCCCTCTACTCTGCCAAACCCAATGCACTGCAGGGTAGGGGGCACAGTTCGTATCTTCCACTGGTCCCTGTTACTTGGCCCTCAAGATGTCCCAGGAACCCACCTCACCCCACCCTATCCTCTGGCAGGATTGTCCTGGCACGATGACCTCACCCAGTATGTGATCTCCCAGGAGATGGAGCGCATCCCCCGGCTTCGCCCCCCAGAACCCCATCCGAGGGACAGGTAGGCAACTTTTCTCAACAACTCCAGCATGGCAAGGCTGGTGAGTTGTGGTCATCCTGACGGACAGAGGGAAGGAGCATCAGTGTTAGCAGACCAGGGCTGGAGTGTGGGTAAAAGAAGCTCAGGAATTGTCAGTCACTCTCTGACTCCCACACACCCAATAGGAGCTGAGCTTATCCTTGGGGATCCAGCAAAACAGGGGCATTAAAAAACTGTCTTGAAGAACTTTGACATTTGATATTTCAAAAGAAGCACCAAAGTAGTCAGCATTGGGGAAAATAAGAATTCTGTTGAACTTAAGCTGTTTAATGCTTCAGTTTTGTTACTAGGTGGAATTACCTATGGCAGAGCATCATCATCTTCAGTGGTTAGGGCCTCTCAAGGCCTTGTTCAGACCCTGCAAAGCAGCGGGTAGTCAGTGAGGCCCACTGGGCACAGATGATGATTCCAGGGTGAAGAAGACATGGGAGGGGGCAGTCCTGAATGTTTGAACATACACCTGGAGGGTCAGGTGTAGGGACAAGACACACAGAAGCAACTGAGCAAGCACAGCCACAGCTCATCTAGAGAGGTTTCCGCTGTCCTCACCTGCACCTCTTCTCCACTTCTCCATCGCGAGCCTCATGCTGCTCTAGCCTCTGCAGCTGTCTGAAGGACCTGGGCATGCTTACCAGGGAGACATACGACCTCTGCCGAAGCTCTCTGGCCCTTCCGCAATGCTACTCTCTCCTCCCCTGAAGCTACCGCATTTATCATGACGTCAAGCCCACTCTCAACTACTGAGATTGTCTGGCCCCCACCATTTTTGCCTTGTAAGCTCCCTACGCCCTTGCCCCACACAACCAACACACACACACACACACAAACTTTGCTTTCCTCCTCAGATCTGGCTTGGTGCCCAGGAGACCTGGCCCCACTGGGGAGCGGCTTTCACAGGGCATCCCCACTGGCTCTGCCCCTGCTGCCCAGCACCTGCTTCCTCGACCTCCAGCAGGCGGGGGTGGAGCTGGGGAAGGCTCCTCCCTGTCCCCTCTGCAGGCTGAGCTACTGCCCCCTCTCCTGGAGCATCTGCTGTTGCCCCCGCAGTCCCCCCACCCTGCCTTGAGTTATGAACCCACCCTGCTGCAGCCCTACCTATTCCACCAGGTGAGCCCTAGACTCTGGCCCTGCCCCAACCCCAATCTCTTAGCCCTGACTTCTGCTCTTACTGGGATCTCTGGTTTCCCACAGTTTGGCTCCCGTGATGGCTCTCGGGGCTCAGAGAACCCCCCAGGGATGGTCAGCATTGGCCCCCTCCCCAAGGTGAAAACCCCTGCCCTCTTCAGCAGAGCTGCTTCCAAGGGCACGTTTGGGGTTCACCCTGGCCACTCCTATGGGGACCCTCCAGGGCCTTCACCTGCTCAGCTTTTCCAAGACTCAGGGCTGCTCTACCTGGCCCAGGAGGCTCCAGTGCCCAGCAGAGCCAGGGCGCCAAGGCTTCCAGAGCAAGGGGCCAGCAGCCAGGCAGAGGACTATGCCTCAGAGGCCTATGAAGAGGAAGGACCAGGGGGTCGCAGGGAGAAGCCTCCTTTCCCAGCAGTGCAGCCAGGTAACAGAGTCCTCAACATCCACCTGCCTGCCTGTGGGGGCCACTTGGGGAACCATGGGATCTCTTTCCTGGCTATCCATGCGTTCATTAATGTGTCCTTAAAGTCATTGATACACTTAACTAATGCTTGCTGACAACTTAATCTGTGCCAGGCACTAGCACTGGGGATACAGTGGTGAGTGAAGCTGACATGACTCTTCTCTAGATGGAGAGTCAAGATGTCCATGGTAGGCCTGAAGTTTGGTCTTGGCCTCTGGAAGGTCTTTTCCTGAAACTGTGGACAAGGGCTGGGAAGGGGAGGGCTTCAGTGTCCAGGGGTTTGAAGAGATGCTCTTAAATGGGTTAGTTCCTTCCCACCTCCCACTCACCCATCTGCATCCCACAAGTTCATCCCACCATAAGCCCTAAGCTCTGTGTCTGGCTCCCAGCAGATGTGACTCTGCAAAGACTGGCGGCTGTGCTGGCGGGCTATGGGGTGGAACTGCATCAGCTGACCCCCGAGCAGCTCTCCACCCTTTCGACCCTGCTACAGCTGCTGCCCAAAGGCATAGGAAGAAATCTGGGTGAGTGTCCAGGCAGAGACCAGCCACTCCCAGCACCACGGAGGCTTCTTCACCCCCCCTTCTCATGACCACAAGAAGCAGCCTGGAGGGGAAGAGTCAGGGTCACGGGAAAGGAGTTCTGAAACATAGGGTCATTGCCATTCAAGGCCAGGGAGCAAGGGGTGGGGTGGAGAGTTGAGGGGCCAGATCAGGGGAGGACTGGAGGGTGGAAGTAATGGAAAAAGAATCCAATGGAGGGTGTGAGCAGCAATAAGGACATGCCCAGAAGGGTGTGGTCAATGATAATGAGGACCTAAGGAGGGGCATGGCCAGTGTTAAGGAGACACCAATAATAAATGCATAGGACAGAACAAAAAAGAGCTTTGAGAAATGTGGACAACGGCAGAGGGAGGAGTTAGAAAAACAATGAATTATAAGGAGGAACCAAAGGGGAGTGAGACCACTCTTAGAGTGAGACCAATGATAGGGGCTTCGCCAGTGACCGAGGGGAAAGAAGCCACAGCAGATGTAATAGGGTCTCTGGCCATTTCTCCTACCTGGGTTGTGTGGGCCTTGGCCTTGGCCCTTTGCCCATGGTCTTGTTTTCCTATTCCTACAGGTGGGGTTGTAAATGTTGGAGCTGACATCAAGAAAGTAAGTTCCCAGCACCTCCCTGATCCATAAGTGACCCATAGCAGTGCTCCCCGTTGCTGACATCTAAACCTCAGGCTCAGGACCCATAATCCATATCCTTCAACCCTCATCTTGCAAATGAGACAGCCAAGGCCCAGAGATTGCAAGTCGTTGCCTAAGGTCTCACATCAAGTGAGACAGATGGATGCGGAAGCTGAGTACAAGCCAACATTCTTAATTTGCTGCTCTTTTCACTGTAGTCATTTCAGACCTTGCTCTGAGGAGCCCTAGCAGAAGAGGGGCGTTGTAAGCAGGCAAGTTCCTGGCCCCTGTAACTTGAGGAGCTCTGCTTCTATCTGTTGCACATGTTGGATGTCTAAGATTTTGTGGCTAAACAAAAGTCTAAAAATCATCTTCTACCCTTACCCTAGCTTCCCCTGCTCTGGAGATTTTCCCTGATTCCAGTCCTATCCTTTGCATTATTACTGACCCTGCGCCATTCATTCACTCCTTTATTCATTCATTCACCCACTTGGCTCACATTTGCTGGGTGCCCTCCTTGTGCCCACTGCTTCCCTGAGCCCTAGGGGTAGAAACAGAAACAACTCCTAAGCTCCACTGTGGGAGCTAATAGTCCAGGGTGTGGACCTCCTTGGCCCCAGCCCTGCAATTCTAGCACCAGCTGGGCCGTACCCCTCTGCTCTCTTCTAAATAGACAATAGAAGAGCAAATACAGGGTGGAGACACAGCAGAGCCTCTGCCCCCCACGCCCTCCCTGCCTGGACATCCTACTGCCAGCCCCACCTCCAGTAAAGGCCAACAAGTTCTGAGTTCCCCAGAGCCCCCCAAAGCTGCTAGCCCCCCTGTCACACCTGTCCTGCTGGAGAAGAAAAGTCCACTGGGCCAGAGCCAGCCCACAGTGGTGAGACAGCCCTCGGCTCCACCGTCCGTGGAGGAGTATGGCTACATCGTCACTGACCAAAAGTAAGGGTCCTGCTGGGAGAGCAAGGCCTCTAGGGGATGGACTGGCCTGCCTGGCAGGAAGCAGAGGGCAGAAATCCAGATCTAAAGGAGACAGGGAGGTGATGGGTTGCTCTGCATATCCCAGGGGTGGCCTGTTTCAAGAAAAAGTGATTGAGTGGATTCTCCAATTTCCTTCCTCTGCCTGCTCCCACCTCCAGGCCCCTGAGCCTGGCTGCAGGCGTGAAGCTACTGGAGCTCCTGGCTGAGCATGTGCACATGTCTTCAGGCAGCTTCATCAACATCAGGTAGGGCTGGCACCTTGCTGAGGGTGGCAGGAATCTAGAAGGCAGCTGGAAGGAGAGGGGGCTGGAGGGGCCCAGAAGAGGAAGAGAAAATAAGCTCTGGGTAAAGGGTCAAGATGTGTCAGAAAGATGCTCCCAGCTATATTGAAAGAACAGCCACATCTATCCCCATCCGGTATCTTCTACCCCTGATCCAGCCTCATCCTCTAGTGGGGAGAAGGCCAGAGCTGGCCTCTCTTGTAGAGTCTCGGGTCTAGGGTCAGTGAGGCAGTAACGTAGCTCCAATTTGGCAGTGTGGTGGGACCAGCCCTGACCTTCCGCATCCGGCACAATGAGCAGAACCTGTCTTTGGCTGATGTGACCCAGCAAGCCGGTAAATACTGCCCTGACCTCAACCTCAGGCTTGGTTGGCCCCAACCCCAGCCCTAGTGGGATACACCCAGGCCTGTGGATGATGCTCCCGCTGAAATATTCCAAACCTACATGAGCCCTCCCTGCCACTTGGCATGATGTGACATGGGATGGACTGCGTGGAGCTGGAGTCTGACCTACCTCCTCTCTGCAGGGCTGGTGAAGTCGGAACTGGAAGCCCAGACAGGGCTCCGGATCTTGCAGACGGGAGTGGGACAGGTATGAGCTACCTGGAGATTCAGTCAAAGCCCCAGAGGGCTGACGTTCCCTACAAAAGATGGAGGCAAACCCAGCCGGAGAACTGGAGCAGAAGCCTCATTTACCTGGCTGGCCTGTGGGCTTCGCCAAGGCAGCCCCTCCCTAAGCAGTTTTCCTTCTGACCAGCAGATGGCGCCGGTGGCTCCTCCTCCCTGCAGTGAGCGCGCCAGCGTTCTCTAGGAGGGCAGTATGTTTGGCAATAACTATCTGAGATGCCCATAGCCTTATGGAGCAAGTCTCTAAATTCCAAGGGAAATCCTTGCACAGAAAGGACATTGTACTCAAAATATATTTCCATTTTTCATCCAACACTGCTGTCTCACATTCTACTGTTCAATTCCTTGGGCAGAACATTGTTCCCTCTCCACTTTTAAAACTAAGTCTCTGGCACTGAAGTGTGGTTGAGTTGGTCTGGTGGGGATTGAGAAGGAGGATCTTAGGCCCATCTGAGCTCTTCTGCCTGTACCACCATGCTCCTACCTTCCAGGCTCTGCCCCAGGGCATGTTCTAGCAGGGAGTGGTGGCACAGGATGGGGGCAAGAAGCAGACCCCTTGATTCCAGCCTTGTTTCCACAGAGGGAAGAGGCTGCCGCAGTCCTTCCCCGACCAGCCCGAAGCACCTCTCCCATGCGTTCGGTGCTGCTTCCTCTGGTGGCCCTGGCAGGTGTGGCTGGGCTGCTGGTGGCTCTGGTGGTGGCTCTGTGTATGCGGCAGCATGCGCGGCAGTGGGACAAGGAGCGCCTGGCAGCCCTGGGGCCTGAGGGGGCCCATGGTGACACCACCTTTGAATACCAGGTGTGTGGCCCCAGAAGTTTGCTGAGGAGAAGAAATGGAGGGGGCTTGGGAATCTAGGTCTTGCATGAGATGGAGGTGGGAAGTTGGAAGGGAAGTGAGCCCCTATCCCTAGGAATGTTCTGGCAGAGGCTGGCGAAGCCCCAGTAGGGGGGTTATGGGAGCATTTTGAATGGGGTAGGAATTGGGAGCAGAGGATTCCTAAGGTTCTTCTCAATGCTAAGATTCTGGAGCTCTGGGATTCTACTTTGTAATACCTGAGGTTGTGATGAGCACCACCCAAGCAGAACTGCTCTGCAAAGGATGAAGGCCAGTGCAGAAGGCCTTACACCAGGGGATATGGGTTCCATTTAAAACCAGTCAAGGACCAGCCTAGGGGCGCAGAATTCAACCCAGGACCCTGTTGGAAAGGCTTCAGGGCACCCCTGAGCCCCATCTGATCATTCTTCTGCAGGACCTCTGCCGCCAGCACATGGCCACGAAGTCCCTGTTTAACCGGGCAGAGGGTCCGCCAGAGCCCTCGAGAGTGAGCAGCGTGTCCTCCCAGTTCAGCGATGCGGCCCAGGCCAGCCCCAGCTCCCACAGCAGCACACCGTCCTGGTGCGAGGAGCCCGCCCAGGCCAACATGGACATCTCCACGGGGCACATGATTCTGGTCAGGACTGGGCCTGAGCCCGGGGAGAGGGGCAGGATGGTGGGAAAGGCAGGGATGTCGGTGTGGGCCCGAGCTGGCTGTGGTGCCCCCGCAGGCATACATGGAGGACCACCTGCGGAACCGGGACCGCCTGGCCAAGGAGTGGCAGGCCCTGTGTGCATACCAGGCAGAGCCTAACACCTGTGCCACTGCCCAGGGGGAGGGCAACATCAAAAAGAACCGCCACCCTGACTTCTTGCCCTGTGAGTGAGCCCTGCTGGCCCTCTCTGCTGGGAGTGCTGGAGGGCTTAGGGGAAGGGGCTGGGATCCTGGCTCAGGCTGAGTGGCGGGGTGCCAGGACCCCAGTGACCAGAGGGGGCATCTGGGGTGGGCTGTGGGGTGTGTACAGATGACCATGCCCGCATCAAGCTGAAGGTGGAGAGCAGCCCTTCTCGGAGCGATTACATCAACGCCAGCCCCATTGTGAGTGGTCCTGGCCTCAGCCCCCACCTCTGCCCCATCCTTATCCTGTCCCCAGCCCTGCCATAACCTCCATTCCCCTGTGGCCACAACCCACCCCACCCAAGGGCCTGATATCTTAGCATGGAAATGAGGGGGAGACCAGGTTCCCCTAGACCCCGACCCATTTCCATTGACCAATGCCTCTCCAAAGTGGAATGTCCCCTTCTGATTCATGATGCATCTTCCCTGCCCTCAGATTGAGCATGACCCTCGGATGCCAGCCTACATAGCCACACAGGGCCCGCTGTCCCACACCATTGCCGACTTCTGGCAGGTGGGCTCTTGGAGGGAGGGCATCTGTAGGGACTAGAGGCTCTCATGGCCAACCAAGGCCAGCCAGGTCCCAGGTAGGTTAGGGTGGTGCTTACCTGGGCCTCTGTCCCTAGATGGTGTGGGAGAGTGGCTGCACCGTCATTGTCATGCTGACCCCACTGGTGGAGGATGGCGTCAAGCAGTGTGACCGCTACTGGCCAGATGAGGGCTCTTCCCTGTATCACGTATATGAGGTCAGTAGGGCCTTATAACCGTGGGACAATGGGAGGGGGGAAGGTGATGGTGGTGTATTCACATATATATTCACATACATATCTCCATATGCATATGTGTATGTCTTACTTATGCCAAGAAAGAATTTTAGGAGCTTATGAGAAAATGAAGGAGCCCCGGTGGCACAATGGTTAGGTGCTTGGCTGCTAACTGAAAGGTCGGTGGTTTGAACCCACCAGTGGCTCCGTGGGAGAAAGATGTGGCAGTCTGCTTCCATAAGGATTACAGCTTTGGAAACCCTATAGGGTGGTTCTATTCTGTTCTATAGGGTCACTATGAGTCAGAATCCATTCTATGACAATGAGTTTGGTTTTTGGTTTATGAGAAAATTTGCAGAAATAAAGCTATAAAACCACCAAAGCAGAAGTAAGAAGCTAAGAGCCAAGAATAAATGAGACAGGGAAGATAATACCCAAAGACCAAGAGTGAAACGTACTTCAATTGAGCCTAACTTAGCTCAGAGTTTCCCGGAGACCAAAGCAAACAAAGAAATACCACCAGTCACACATGTTGCTTATGGAAAATAGAAACAAACTTTCTCATTAGGAGAGAGGATGGGTGGGGGAACTGGGCAGAAGCAAAGCAGTGGAAGGAGGAATAGATTCTGGACAGACAGGGGACGGTAACCCTCCTTTAAGATAGGAGATGTTAGGAGAAACTTCTCATCACTAGATGAGCCTTGGACAGTAGTTTTCCCAGGTGGTGCAGTGGTTAAGCAATTGGCTGCTAACTGAAAGGTTGGCAGTTCAAGCCCAGCAGATTAAAACCCATCAGCCACTCCACAGGAGAAAGATGTGGCAATCTGCTTCTGTAAAGATTGTGTTGTTTGGTGCTGTCAAGTTGGTTCCGACTCATAGAGATCCTATGTATAACAGAATGAAATGTTGCCCAGTCCTGAACCATCCTGACAATAGTTGCTGCCTTGGAAACCCTATGGAGCAGTTCTATTCTGGCCTATAAGGTCACTGTGAGTCAGAATCCATTTGATGGCAACGGGGTGTAGATGAGCACTCAACAGTCGTTTTTTGTTTGTTTTGGTTTTTATTGGACCTGATCATAGTTAAAGAAAAAAAAATCTAATAAAAACATTACAGAATTTCATCAAAGTTTATGGTGCATGTAGCATGGACACTGTGCTAGACCCTGTGAGGAGACCAACGAAGGAGAAACTGGCCCCAAGAAGCTCACAATAATAGTTGTCTAGTTGGAAAAGCCACCAGTTGTCCTGAGCAGTAGATAAGTTATACAGACAGCCAGGGTTCTAGAGACAGCTAGCACAGTTGGGTGGATGGGTGCGGAAGCTTTCTGGAGAATTTAGAATCTGAACTGGCCTGGGAGGGGGGAGGATTTGGAGAGATGGAGAAGGTGCGGTCTAGACGTGGAGGCTGGAGAGCCCACAGGCGCCTGGCAGGCCAAGAGAGACCGGGTCGGTGGCCGCTGCCCGGCTCAGGCCTGGGCCCACTCCTCCGCAGGTGAACTTGGTGTCGGAACACATCTGGTGTGAGGACTTTTTGGTGCGGAGCTTTTACCTGAAGAACGTGCAGACCCAGGAGACACGCACGCTCACGCAGTTCCACTTCCTCAGCTGGCCGGCAGAGGGCACTCCGGCCTCCACTCGGCCCCTGCTGGACTTCCGCAGGTGAGCGCCCCGCCCATCGCGAGGAGCTGGACCCGGCCTACCGAGCCGCCGGGGCGGGCAACCACGCCGTCCCCGAGAAGTCTGGGGACGGAGCGGCATAGGGGAGAGGCCTGGGAGCGGGGCGCCCCAGTACATGTCACTGAAGCCCCGGCCTAGCAGCTCCTCGCGGGGTCCTAGGTCAAGTAGGCAGGCCCTCAGCCGGGTCATGCCCTGACCTGGAGTCTCGGCCTCTGCCCTCTGGCTGCTCCCTCCAGACCCCCCCACCAGGACTGATGCTCTGTCTTGCTGTGCCCGTCACCTCTCTCTTCCTCGCCTCCCCATCACCAGTTTCTGGGAGGTCTCTGTAGTCTCCTTCGCACGCTGCCTTTTCTGGCCCCTTCCACTGCCCTTCCTTCTCTCCCCTCCTTGGCCCTCCACCCGCCCCGCCCCCAAGAACGGCTCCCCTTATTTCTACCTCCCCTCCTTCTCTGTCTACCCCTCTGCGTATTGGCCCCTGCTTCCTGTCTCTCCTTTCATTTTCTTCGTGCTGTTTCCTCTCAAGATCTATTTCCTTACTTCCTCCGCCCTATCTTCCCTTTTTTATCCTTCTCCCTGTCTCTTTGCTTCTATTTCTATTTCTTTCTGTCTTCCATTCTCTCTCCCCCTTCCCTTTCTCTATCTCTCTCTGCCTCCCTCCCTATCAACTCTTTCTCTACCTCTGTCCACTCTTTCCCTCTATTTCCATTTCTCCTTCTCTGCACCTCTCCCCTTTTCTGTCTCTTCTCTCTCTCCCCTCTTTTCCCCCTCCTTCCCACCTCTGCCTCTCTCTCTCTGCCTCTTTGTCTCTCTCTTCCTCTGTCCCTTTACATGCCTCTGTCCTAGTTTGTCCCTCTGTCTCTCCCTGTCTCCATCCTTCCCCCTCCCCTCCTCCTTCTGTCTGTCTGTCCCTCTCTCTGGCCTCTCTCCCCTCCTCCCTCTGTCTGTCCCTCTCTCTGGCCTCTCTCCCCTCCTCCCTCCGTCTGTCTCCCTCTCCCCCTCACAGCTGCCAGTGTCATTTTTGTGATCTGCAGCTAGTATTCTCACTCCAGTTGCATAGTCACAAAAGTGATCATTGGCAGGTGTGGCTGCTGCATGGACAGAACAGACGGGACACGTGGGATCAGGACCACCCTGCAGCCTGCGGGGAGAGTTGGGGGTGGGGGTGGGGGCAGAGGGAAGAGACAAAGACTGCCAGAGGGAGTGTGGGAGGATCTCTGGGTTCTTGGGGACACAGTGAAAATGGTGGGGGCTGGGACAGGAAGCTTACTGAGGGACTTGCCCTGTTCTGACACCAAAACCTGCCCAGGCCAGCCCTCCAGCATCTCCTGCCTGTCCCCTCCTCAGATGGGCAGCTGAGAAGCCTGCCAACATGGTCAGGGGCCCCACCAGCACCACAGCCTTCCCCTGCTTCGTTGCTCCTTGCCAGGCTGGCCAGAGGTCTCTGGTGCTGGGCAAAAAGCAGAAGAGCAGTGCTGGTGGTGGGGACCTGGGTGTAGTTTCTGAACGTCAGGACAGTGGTTTCTATTTGGGGTCCCTGGGGCCTGAGACACAGCCATCTTGAAAACAATGCCAGGAGTATTGGAGCTATTTTCCACATTTTAAAAATCTGGATAGAACTAGTACCTGGACCTGCTTTAAGCCTGCACAACTAAGCTAAGAGGTTATGTTTCTTTGCTTTAGGCTGGAATTATGTAAACCCAATGTATTTGACATTAGGCACAAGAACAAATTAATTGCTGCTTAATAAATGCAGTTTGGTGAAGGTCCACCAGAGGAAAGGTGAAATAATAAAGGAGGTCTTAGAAAGTGACCCCAAGCAATTTCCTTGATCTCCTGGTTTCCTTACCTGTGAAATAAGGATGAAGACACATGCTTTAGGGAGTTGTTGGAAGATTTAATAAAGTTTATAAAATCTGGTTTAAGTACCTGGCGCACAGTAAGGGTTCAACTGATTAATTCTAGCTTCTGTCTATCATCATTATTATGAAATGATTGGGAGCCATTCTTATGACTACTGTTCAATCCCATCCCGGTGACATACTAACCAGTGTGTCAGAAGATCATTGTGTATCCTGTAAGACCATCCAAAGTCACCTGGCCTTGCAAGTCTGGGGGAGCCAGAGTAGAGGATCTCTAAGTTCCAAGCTTCCCCTAAAACAATCTGATGGCCCCTAAGAAGCTCCTCCCTAGTCCTGGCCCAAAGAGGGTATTCAGAGGTCTCCTCCAGACTCTCAAAGCAGGAAGGTCATAAGACAAGGGCAGGTTAGACTGGGCCACTGAAGGAGGGAGAAACCCTCTGCTCCTTGCTGAACTGTGGTTACGGGCAGCAAAGAAGGATGTGAGGTCCAAGTGGACCCCAAGTCTGAATACAACCTGGCCACAGAGCACCTGGGCTGAGGTAAAGCTGACACAGGGATATAAGCAGCAGCATTATGTTCAGAGCTGTCCTCCCCTCCCCAGGGCTACCTGACATCATTAGCTCTTTACATGGGTTATCTCATGTAATCATTGTAAGAACCCTAAGGAGAAGGTTGGAAGGTTATAATTATTATCATCCCCATTTTACAGATAAGGAAACTGAGGCTCAAAGAGGTTGAGTTAGTTATTCCAGGTGCATAGCTTGGATACATGGTTCATAAGTGACAAGGCAAGCCCAGTGCCACTGATGCCAGCTCTGGCTCTTTGCCTTCGGCCCTGACTCCATCCACCAGTCACACATGCTTATGGAAAATAGAAACAAACCTTTTCATTAGGAGAGGGGATGGTTAAGGAGGGAACTGGGCAGAGGCAGAACAGGGGAAGGAGGAATAGATTCTGGACAAATGGAAGAAGGTAACCCTCCTTTAAGACAGGAGATGTTAGGAGACATTTCTTATCACTAGATGAGCCCTGGACAGTAGTTTTCCCTGGCTGAGTTAGTTGTTCAGATGCATAGCTTGGGTACGTGGCTCGAAAGTAACGAGGCGAGCCCAGTGCCACCGATGCCCGCTCTGGCTCTTTTCTCCAGCCCGGACTCTGCTTTCTCCAGCCCCCTGCGCTGGGCATGGCGGGAGAAAAGGCAGAAAGAGAGGCCACAGGTGTGGGTTTCGCTTCCCCCACCCGACTCTGCTCACAGCTGGTCCTCCTACCCACTTCTTGTTGCAGGAAGGTGAACAAGTGTTACCGGGGCCGCTCCTGCCCCATCATCGTGCACTGCAGGTGCGTGGAGAGGGGCTGGGGGACAGGGTGGGGGCAGAGCGAACAGGACGGCCCAGGCATTCCTGGTTTTGCCCCCTCGCCAGGCCGGTCTCCCATGCACACTGCCTGCCTTTCCCCTTGATGCCAACAAACCACACAGCCCACGGGCCAAATCCAGCACACCACCTGTTTTCTTAACAGCCCATGAAATAAGAATGGTTTGCACATTTTTAAATGATTGAAGAAGGGGGGAAAAAAGACTATGACAGACTATGTGACCCTCAAAGCCAAAAATATTTACTGCCTGCCCCATTACACAAAATTTTGCTGAACAGAAGTCTGGCCAGAGGCTGGAGCCGGCCAGACCCCTTCCCTACTGCTGCCTTGACCTCAGGGCCACCAGAGCTCTTCTTGTTGGTTGCCGTGTTGCCCAAGTGACACTTCAGGGGTCACAAGTTCCCCCCTCGAGGCCCAATTCCTTCATCTCAGCTCACTCTCGTCCCCCCAAGCTAGCCTCATCATCTCCTCATCCCTCCCCCTTTCTGCTGGGTCCTGAGCCTGTCATATCTCCTGTTTCAGTGATGGTGCAGGGAGAACTGGCACCTACATCCTGGTCGACATGGTTCTGAACCGCATGGCAAAAGGTAAGCACATTCCCTCAAGGACCCGCAGGCCCCAGCCCCGAGAGCTGTGAGAGCTCTTGGAAGGGCAGGTTGTCACACCTCCTCTGGGTCCCCCCTGAGCAGCTCTCTGCCCCCCACTTCCAGGAGTGAAGGAGATCGACATCGCTGCCACCCTGGAGCACATCCGTGACCAGCGGCCCGGCCTTGTCCGATCCAAGGTGACCATGCCTCTCTGCTCCAACCCTGACTGCCCCCCTTGCCCAGCACCCACTTCTCAGCCACCCCAGGGAAACCAGCAGCAGCCTGCCTCCTTCTGTCTGCTGGTGCAATACCCCCCCAGGAGACTCCCCATCTTCCCAGGGAATCTTCTCAGTCCCCCTCTCCTAGGCCCTGCTGGGGTGCACCTTCCCCTGACCCTCCTCCTCCTGTCCTTCCCCAGGACCAGTTTGAATTTGCCCTGACTGCTGTGGCAGAGGAGGTGAATGCCATCCTCAAGGCCCTGCCCCAGTGAGCCCCCTCGGCCCTCCGTGGACAGCCCAGCCTCCACCCTCTGTGTCCTGTGAGCATCTATCTGTGTACCCACTCTGATGCCCCCGCCTGCTACCTTGGCCCTCCTGGGCATGTCTGGCCCTTCCATGATGTGTGTATAAGGAAGGGGAGGCAGGAAGGGCTGGAGTGCAGGGCACCCCGCTGGGGCGCTAGCAGCCTGCTGGGAGGAGACCAAGGACATGGGCAGCAATTCTACGCAGAGCCTTTTCCCGCCTAAGTTCCCTGGCCACCATCTCCCTCCCCTGCTCCTGGAGGTGTATTCCCTCCCCCAAGTGTGGGCAAGACAGGGTGGAGGGGGCTCCAGACCCCCACTGTACTCTTTCCTGCCTCCTTGACCTTCACTTGGGCTCCCTACCCTTCCCACTTCCACCCTCAGGCCTCCTCTTACCACCCTCCTGCCATGTGCCACTCAACCTCTCTCCCTCTGGCACTAGAGAACATTTCTAGAAAAGTCTACTTTTGTATCAGTGTGAATAAAGTTAGTGTGTTGTCTGTGCAGCTGCAACCCAGACTCCTACGCATTTCTGCTTTGCTTCCAGACTCCAGCCCCAGCTTCTGTCTGGAGCCAGACTGTGGAGTTAGGCTCTGCAAGGGTTGAAGAGCATAATCACAGCCAGACAGTGGTATTTTTATATGGTGCTTCCTATGTAGCAGACAGTCTCCAAAGGGCTTTACGTTTATTAACTTGTTTAATCTTCGCAACGCTACCATGTGGGTACTATTATTAGCCCCATTTTACAGATGAATAAACTGTGGCACAGAAATGATAAGCAACTTGCCCAAGGTAGCCTGACTTGTAAGTGGTGGAAATAGGATTCAAACCCGGGTGTGCTTAACTTCTTCACTTGACTGCCGCTCCTCCCAGTTCCTGGGCAGCTGCTGCGTGCCCTTTGGGCCTCAAGAATACTGTGTGTCATGCATGACTGAGGTTAGTACTGAAGGAGGTGATACAGGCAAAGGCGCTCAGTGAGGCTGTAGTGATCGGGCTTGAGGCCAGTAGACCATGCCCCTCCCGTTCAGCTTCAGCTGTGGCCTCGCTGTCTCCCCATCAGCCCCAGCTGCCCTGTTATTGGAAGCCTCTCTGTAGCAAAACTCTGTAGGCCCAGCCTGTGAGATGTCTGAACAGGTGTGTACCTGGGGGCAAGGGGCGCTTTCTCCCCTTCTCTCCCACCCTCGGCTTCCACAACTCTCCACCCTGTAGGATCTCAGGAACAGCCCTCACCTTGGACAAAGTTGGTAGATGTAGAAATGGAGCACAAAGAGCCTTGGGCCTGGGGCCATGTGGGAGTTAGGGTTACCTGACCTTGCTGAGGCTCAGTCTCCTCAAATGAAAAATAAGGGCAATACCATCTACCCTGAGCAGGGGGTGAAGGGACCAGCTCTGACGCCACAGGCTCCTCCTATTGTCTCACCTGGGCTCTGCTGAGACTCAGCTCCAACTGTCTGTTTTCAAGGCTAGAAGTGGGGAAAAGAGCCATTTTATAAACTAGCAGATTGTCTCTCTCTAAAGATGGAGGTGTGACTTCCTCTTTTAGAGCAGTCTGTTTCTTTGCTTTGAAAAAAATATATTACAGGCCCTTTGTCTATGCACAGGTAAAGCAAAGCACCTATCCTGGAAGGGAGGCAGAGCCAGTGAGGAGCTACACTACCCTACTTGGCAACTTAAAGGCGCTTCTCCTGTGGGGTGAAGGGCATCTCCGCAGGTGTCTGCAGATGCGAGGGGGAGGGGCACCTTTCCTCCCTGAACTTTGATGAGCTTGGGGTCTGGACCCTGGGTGGGGTGTACTTGTGCCACTCCAGGTGGGGAAGGCAGGCCTCTGAAACTCACCACTGGCTGTGGAGGGGCTCAGCCAAACCATTGCTGAGTGGATTCCAACTCCTAGCGGACCTATAGGACAGAGTAGAACTACACCCACAGGGTTTCCAAAGCTGTAATCTTCACACAGAAGCTGACTGCCACATCTTTCTCCCTCAGAGCGGCTGGTGGGTTTGAACCGCCAACCTTTTGGTTAGTGGCCCAGTGCTAACCACTGCACCACCAGGGCTCCTTCTATGGAACTTAGGAGTGTATTTTGTCAAAGGTTTTCACCACATCACACCTGCTTCCTACTGTCCCCATGCCTCCCATCAAGTCTTAGCTGAGTCTGGTCCTGGCTCTGCTGTGGAATACTGAGCAATGGGTCCCCGCATAGGGTAAACAACTGCCTGGGGAAAGTTGTTCATGAGGCCCCAAGAGGCAAAGGCAGCAGAATGTAAGCATTTCTCAGGATTCTGCAACATACTTGGGGAGGGCAACCTGATATAAAAAAGGGGACTTTCCACCGTCCACTGGGAAGGGCTGCACCTCTAGCTATCTGGGCAACAGAGGGAAGTGTGAGGCCTGAAGTGTTGTCCGCTGGTCGTACAGGGCCTTGCCGGGTCACCCAGAAAAGGAGGAAGACACCGCACCACCATGCTCTCAGAACTCAGCTTTATTGACTTCCAGTGTTTCCCCCTCGGTCTGCGCTCAGCCCAGCGGGGGCTTCGATAGGTCTCTGAGGTTAAATGTTACAGGAGCTGATGACACCCCGCTCCCCTCCCTGGCCCCTAGGCTCCCCAGAGAGGGAGGAGGAGAGGCGGCTCGTCTGCAGTGTTGGAGAGAAAGAATGCGCGGCAGGGTCAGAGGCCAGAGAAAGGCATACAAGCAGCAACATGCCCGGAGCTCCCCATCACACGGCCACCCCCGCCTTACGTACACCCTCCGCGGGGGCGGACACCCAGGGCAGCTCTGCCAGCCCCGGCCCAACGCCTTCTGGGCCACGCCCTGCCCCGTTGGTCCTGCCGGGGCCAGCCTGTTCCTCAGAACTTCGACTGCCCACGGGAGATGCTTCGGCTTTGACTTGTACACTCTAACCTCGGCGCTAGTAAGAAGTGTCAGGGGAACCAAGACTCGACCCATTACCCCTTAATCCACATTCTCACCACCTCCTCCAGGGACAAATCACCTGACAAGATTTGCCCATCTCACTCCCACAGCCAATGAAGGGCCGAACTGGGCCGGAACTACATGTCCCAAGATGCACAGCTCCACAACACGCACCGCCGCCCGCAAGCGTGGACTATCAGATTCAGAAATAAGGCAGGGTGCGTTGCATTCTGGGACATGTAGTCCCCAAGAGACAGCACCAAACACCTAATGAAGAGTTTACAGGCTAAGACTACTGACGCACCGCCTCCCACCCGGCCCCGCCCACCACCCAGGCCCCGGCTCTACACTCTGGGGCGGGTGAAGGAGAGGAATGAGGGTCCCCTCCCAGCGCACAGGGTTGGGCGCTGTCCCGTTGGAACTGTGCAGCGACTCTGGATCCCGGACATCCAGCTCAGAACACATCTGAGGAGAGAGCGGGGGACGGGTGACAGGAGAGTGGGTCAGCGGAAAGCTGTGGAGGTAGAGTTGAGCATGCAGGCCTGGGCTAGCCCTGTGGCCTCTCCCTGCACCCTGGGAGGGGGAGTTGTATGGGTTAATAATCCCCTCCTAGGCCCCCCTCCTGGGTCACCTTGGCCCTATCCCACCTCTCCCAGGTCAGCCAGCCTCACTTCTGCCTAGTCCCAGGGCTGGGGGGAGGTGGAGGTAGCGACAGGCAGGGAGGAGGAGTGGACTCCGGTTCCAAATCTATATGGCCAAGAGGCTCCTGCCCCATCAAGCTAGCCTCCCCGGAAGAACTTACGGCCCTACCGGCCCCAGCATCTTCCTCGCCACCCTGAGGCCTTCTTGAGGAAGAAAGGAGGAGGGAGTCCTAGCCAGAAGGCAGTGAAAGCAAGCGATGTAGCTGGCAGGGAGTTGGAAGAAGAGTGAGAAGCAACAGCAGCACCAGAAGGGAAGCAACAGAAACAGTCAGAGCTCAGCACTGCACAGAGACCAAGGTGGGGAACTGGACAAGGAGAGCAGGAGACTCCCCTCAGCCAGCACTGCTGCCCGGCATAGCTGCCGTCTCGGGCTCAGAGAAACCAGGCCAAGTCCTCCTTCCTCAACCTCTGTCAGCAGCACAGGCAGCTGGGGACCTGGTCACCAGATGCCCAACCGAAACACGAATGCCCCTCAGAAGCTCCCCATCCAGTAAATGCGTCCTGGCTCTCAGGCCCTTCCCTGCCCTGAGGCCCCCACCTGGGCTTCACCCAGGGACCTATCAGTCCTGGGCTGAGCACAGAAACACAAGTCCACACTAGCGTGAGGGTGGGCCTGGGAGGGAAACTGGTGGTGGGAGCATGGGGTTGGTGAGGGACTCCTGAATTCAGGCCACACACCTCTCTGCTCCCTGACAGTGAGAGACGGACCCCTAGTGAGGACTGGAACCAGGTCAGGTTGGGCCTGGTGTTCAGAGGATGAGGCAGCGAGAGGCCTTCTCCTCCTGAGCTGGGCTAGGCTTGGCTCCCTCACCCCTTGCACCCTCACGGGTCCCCCCCACGCCCAGATTTTGGTGCTGGGCCTTGGGCCGCCCCTGCTGTCGTCGCTGTGCCCCCCGCCCACCTGCTGGTTTCTTCCCAGCTGCCTCCATCTCTGACAGGCTGTAGGCCATGGCAAGCTGCAGGTCCTCGTCATCCTCAGAGAAGTCATCAGAGGGGTGTGAGATGGGTGTCTGCTGGACCTGTGTGCCCCCAGACCTGGAGGTGACCGACTGCTGCTGCTCACGACGGCTCAGCTCCAAGCCCAGCGCCAGGTCGTCTGGGACACCTGCAGAAGGCATGGCCACTGTGAAGCCCCCTGACCCAGGCCAGGGGCATGTGCCAGGCTGCCTCATGCAGTAACAATGTGGACACTTATAGCCCTCCTTCAGGACTGGCACACATGGTAGTGGTTATGAGCACAGCAGGTATTCAGCTCTACCAGGTACTACCTCCTGTCTGCTTGGGCAAGTTACTCAGCCTCCATAAGCCTCTCCTTCTTCAACTCTAAAATGGGAATGATGATTTAAAATAAAAAAACCCATTGCTGTCGAGTGGATTCCGACTCATGTTGACCCCATTGTTACAGAGTAGAACTTCTCCATAGGATTTTCTTGGGTGTAATCTCTATGGAGAAGTCCCTGGTTGGTGCAAATGGTTAAGCACTCAAATACTAGCCAAAAGGCTGGCAGTTCAAATCTTCCCAGAGGCACCTCAACCCCAGGGCCCGAAGCCTTTTCCCTAAACAACTCCTCAGGCCTGGTGATCTGCTTCCAAAAGGTCACAGCCTTGAAAACCCTATGGAGCAGTTCTACTGTACACATGTGGGCTCAGCATGAGTCAGAACTGACTCCGCAGCAACTAACAACAACAACAGTCTTTACAGAAGCTGACCACTTCTCCTCAGTGCCACTGGGTGGGTCTGAACTGCCAACCTTTAGGTTAGTAGTCAAGTGCAAATCATTTGTACCACCCAGGGACCTGGGAATGATGATAGTGCCTACATAATGAAATCATTTTTTAAAAAAATCTGTTGCTGTCAAGTTGATTCCAACTTGGGGGTTAAACCCATTGTTGTAGTCAATTCCGACTCATACCGACCCTATAGGATAGAGTAGAACCGCCCCATAGGGTTTCTGAGGAGCAGCTGGTGGATTGGAACTGCCAGGATTTTGGTTAGCAGCTGTAGCTCTTAACCACTGTGCCACCAGGGCTCCCATCAAACCATTATAAGGATTAAATAAAATAACCCATGTGAACCACTTAGTACACAGTGCTTGCTGTGCCTGCAGGCACGAAAGGCTAGCCGTGGTGATAATCCTGTACAGTGTGGTGTCGTGGGAAGAATTCAGCTCTCAGAATCATCCACGCTGAGTTTGATTCCTGGCTTTATCCCTTATTTTGTAGGAAAGAGCCTTGGGCCTGGGGCTACTTGGGAGTTAAACCCATTGCTGCGGAGTCAATTCCAACACATAACGACCCTATAGGACAGGGTAGAACTTCCCCATGGTATTTTCAATCACCTCATATGTGTGAAAGCTGGACAATGAACATGGAAGACTGAAGAAGAATTGATGAATTTAAATTATGGTGTTGGTGAAGCATACAGAATATACCACGGACTGCCAGAAGAACAAATAAATCTGTCTTGGAAGAAGTAGAGCTAGAATGCTCCTTAGAAGGGAGGATGGCGAGACTTTGTATTATGTACTTTGGACACGTTATCAGGAGGGACAAGTCCCTGGAGAAGGACATCATGCTTGATAAAGTAGACAGTCAGTAAAAAAGAGGAAGACTCTCAATGAGATGGGTGGCTGCACTAAAGGGCTCAAACATAGCAACAATTGTGAGGATGGCACAGGACCAAGCAATGTTTCGTTCTGTTGTACATAGGGTTACTATGAGTTGGAACCAACTCGGCGGTACCTAACAACAACAGAACTGCTCCATAGGGTTTCCAAGGCTGTAATCTTCATGGAAGCAGATTGCCACATTTTTCTCCCGAGGAGTGGCTGATGGGTTCAAACCACCGACCCTTCAATTAGTGGCCAAGCACTTAACCACTGTGCTACCAGGGCTCCTTACTTGGAAGTTAGGATCCCTTAATCTTGCTGAGGATCAGTCTCCTCCATTGAAAAATAGGGCCAATAGCACCTGCCCTGCTTATTCTCCTGGGATATTTTAAGAATAAAGGGGATACTGTACATGTGCAAGGGCTTTAAAAATAGTAAAGTGTTTTGCAAATGTAGGGCACACCACTAATTATGATGGTGAGTAGCTGGCCCTTCTAGAGACTCCTCACTTCCCTGTCTCTGCCCCTTGCTCAGGATCGCCATCTCAAATCCTGCCAATCCTGTGACGGCCATCCCTTCCCTGCCCAAGAAAGTTCAGAGAGGAGCTATTTGGGGAAGAGGCTTTGGGCCCTGGGGTCGGAGCTTCCTGCTGGGGGACGGGTAATAGGACAGTTCCTCACCATTGATTGTGACTGACTTCAGCTGCCCGTCCTCCTCCACTTCCACCCGTTCCTGCCCGTTCTCCATGATTCTGTGGGAGACAGCACAGTTCATTTTCTGAACCCTGCAGGCACTGATCCAGGCTCTGGGCCGCTGAGTAGACAGGGCAGACGGGGCTGTGCCCTCAAGGAGCTTATCTTTTAGCTTATCCCCTCACCCCAGCTCCCAGGACCCTCCACCCTGCACAGTCCCAGCAGGAGCCCTCACCTGCGTGTGGTGATGCGGCGTCCTTGGACAAAGGTGGTGGATGTAGAAACAGAGCGAAAAGCACCAGCGCCAGGACTGAAGGAGAAAGATGAGGAGGAGAAATCTGGCATGGAGACAAAGGAGGAGGAGAAGAGGTTGTCAGACCAAGTTGTATGCTGTGTGCTGCAGTCACAAAGGGCCAGGGAACTCTGGAGGCTCGAGATACATAGGAGAGAAGGCTTGGAAAAGTAACCAGCTGCTGAGGTCAGGGGTTCCAGGCCCCAGAACTTGCAGAAGTGGGGAGGTTCAGCACTTACCAGAGTGCCCAGGGAAGGAGGAAGAGAAGGTAAAGAAGGGGCCGGAGTGTCGGGGGCCCCGGCTCTGAAGCTCTGAGAAGGGGCCCAGGTCATCTGCAACAAGTAAGCAGACTGCAGTCATCTGGTAAACAGTTTTCCCCCCAAAATGTGTGAACTCTGCTTTTAAGTCCAAAAATATAAGCTGTTGAGCAACTGGGTATATTTCTAATTTTTTTTCTTGGGTTTATTTACAAATTAAATTCCTTTTTAATATTGTTTATGAAAAGCTAGACTATCAATACAATAAAGAATACCAAAGAAGAAAGAGAGAAAGGGGATGAAGGAGGGAGAACAGTGGGCTCCTTCAGAGAGGATAAGCAGGATGTGATGTCAGGTAGACACAGCTTCGGTCCCAGTGCTGCCATTTGCTGTGTGACTCTAAGCAAGTTACCTGACAGTGCCTCAGTTTTCTCATCTGTAAATGGGGACAAAATTATCCACTTCCCGTGATTCATTAAAGGATCAAAGGATTTAAAAAACTTGGCACATATTAATCATTCCAAAAACTGGTATGTGTTGTTGTTTGCAATTTTATTATTACTGTCAGATGATGCTTTGAGTCTTGCTTTCATGGCTGTCAGTGTGGAGAGCTAACAATGTATTACTGTTGTTCCCATTGAATAAGGCGGGTCACTATAGGGTCATGTGGGTCCTGGCATGTGTAAGGTTCTTTCCCAGTGCTCACTGGACCAACCCCCACACAATCTTTCTGCCTGTGGAATTCAGCTTCCCTCTCAGCCTCATCAGGAAGGACCGATCACTGGAGAAGGATATCGTGCTTGGTAGAGGGTCAGCAAAAATGAGGGAAACCCTCAGTGAGATGGACTGACACAGCAGCAGCAACAAGGGACTCAAACATATCAACAATCATGAAGATGGCCCAGGACCAGGCAACATTTCATTCTGTTATACATAAGGTCGCCATGAGTCGGAGCTGACTTGATGGTAACTAAAACAATTCGGCCTCCTGTCTAAGGGCCTCCCAGCTGAGGGATGGAGAGGCCTGGAGGGGAAAGTTGAGCCAGGCATGTATCGCCTAAGTCCACTTACCAAAGAGCTCCGCAAAAGGGTCTCCACCCCCGAAGAACTCCCGGAAGACCTCCTCAGGGCTGCGGAAGGTGAAGGTGAAGCCAGGCCCACCACCGCCAGTTTCATCCCGAGATGGGCCAGTTCCTTGAAGGAGAGGAAGAGTGAGGAGGGGGTATGGGGGGTGCATTTTGCCCTGTGCTAGGGGACCACACCCACGGCAAGGCCAGGAGCCTCAGAGAGCATCCCTTGCAAGTACCTGTCCCCCTCCACTTCCACCCCTAGGCCCCAGGGCTTCACCTACCTGCCCCAGTCAGCCCCTCCCGTCCATAGCGGTCATAGATCTCTCGCTTATGCTCTGGAAAGAGAAACCAGGTCATTGCTCCCTCTTCCTGGGCTGATGATCTCAACCCACCCCCACTTCCCCTCCCATGCTAGGCCCCTCAGAGGACTGCCCAGAAACTGCAGCTTGGGGGACAGCAGGATACACAGGGGACACAGGCTATAGATTTTAGCAGCAGCTAAGCCCTTCACACAGCTGTCTGTAAAATGGACATAACAGCACCTACCTCATAGAGTTGTTGTAAAAATTAAATGAGATAGCCCACATAAACTGCTTAGCACAGTGCCTGGCACATAGTAAGCATTCAATACTGAAAAAACCCACTGCCGTCGAGTCAGTTCTGACTCATAGTGACCCCATAGGGTTTCCAAGGCTGTAAATCTCTATGGAAGCAGATTGCCACATCTTTCTCCCACAGAGCAGCTGGTGGTTTCGAACCACCAATCTTTCAGTTAGCAGTTCATTGCTTTAACCACTACACCACCAGGGCTCATTTAAGCATTCAATAACTATTAGCTAATTATTACGTTATTATTAGTCAAGCCTCAGCCTAAACGTCACCTCCTCAGAGGCCTTCTGTGACCGTCCTAACAAAAATAGGTGCCCATTATTCCCCATCATTTCACCCTATGACTTTCCTTTGGAATACTCTTCACAATCTATAATCTTGTCTATGTATTTACCTGGTTATTGTCTGTCTTCCCTGGCCAGAATATGATAAACCCATCAGGACAAGGACAGTGCCTGCTTGTCCTTCACTGTCTTGCCAATACCCAGCAAGTGCCCCACACAGTAAGCATTCAGTGAATACTTTTTGAATGAATGAAAGACACATCTGGATTCATGTTCCAGCTCTGTGTGACCTTGAGCAAGTTACTTCACCTCTCTCAGCCTCAGTTTCCTTGCTTATAAAATGGGGGTGATAAAGCCTACCCTGCAAGATGGCTGTGAAGAGTCCCAGAGGTTACATGGGAAAGTGCCCACCTGTGCCTGGCACGGCGAAGGCTCACTTCACATCAGCTACCTGCCCTGTTTCCTTCCTCTTGTAGGGCCCAGCTGCTCCTCCCAGGCCCTGGGGAGCACTAGGAGCAGACACTGAGCATAGGGGGTCAGGGGAATAATAAAAAGGTGCTTTGCACATAAATTAAAAAAAAAAAAAAAAACCTCATTGCCTTCAAGTTGATTCTGACTCATGGCAACCCTGTAGGACAAAGCAAAGCTGCCCATAGGGTTTCCGAGGCTGTACGTCTTTACAGAAGTAGACTGCCACAGCTTTCTCTGGTGGAGTGGCTGGCTGGTGTGTTCAAACTGCCAACCTTTCAGTTAGCAGCCAAGCACTTAACCACTGTGCCACCAGGGCTCCTGACTTTGCACATACTTGGTGATAATTTGAATTGAAGCAAAGACAAAAAGTCCAGAAGTCCTTGTGGAAGGGGGGCACCTAGAATGCCAGGTTGGAAAAGCCATGGAGGAGACTGCAGTGAGGGAGGCATGGCTTTGGGAAGGAGTGAAATGGGGCCTGAAGTGGGGGTGATGTGCTGGGCCCAACTCTGACCCCCGCCCTTACTGTCGGACAGCACTTCATATGCCTCGGCCACCTCCTTAAACTTCTTCTCAGCAAACTCTTTATTATCCGGGTTCTTGTCTGGGTGCCACTGTAGAGCCTTCCGCCGGTACCTGCAGGAAGGGGGTTCAGAGGGGAGAATCAGGCACTTCCCGAAGACCCATCTTCCCATTAACCTGTTACTGTCTCGTCACCACTCAGCTCCTCATCTACCCCAGCTGCTAAGGCTGCCTCTGTTGCCAGGTTTTAATGGGGTCCCCCCCATCTCTCCTCGCTGCGTTCAGTGCTAGGAATACCTGTATTAGCTGTTGTTAATGCGAGGGTGAGTCAGTCGCAGCCCTAAACCCTCCCTGGGGCTCGCGGGGGCTTAGGGGTCTGCAAAACCTCAGGTTGGGGATACATGTGGCCACAAGGGCACAGGTGCGCTGGTCCCTCCTTGTCGCAGAGCCTGGCCATCTTTGCACGCAACCCGAGACAGCCCACATCTAGGGTTGAGGGTGAGAGAGTAGGGAGGGGAGGGGAGGGGAGGGGAGGGTGTGTTGGAGAAGGACCCACAGTGAAGCTCCCAGCAGAACTTCTCCGCTCTGTGGACTTTCTCCTTCTACTCTTCCTCCCAGTCTTCTCTAGGACCTGATTCCCTTAGCACTGCGTCTGAAAAGCCCCTGCTGGGGGCGGGGTGGCTGGGAGGTTTTCTGACGTGCAGCGGAGGCACTTACGCCTTCTTGATGTCATCAGCAGACGCACTTCGCGGCACTTCTAGGATCTCGTAGTAGGAAGCCATGGCAACTCGTCAAAAGTCCGGCGGGCCTCCTTAGGGCTGCAGGAGAGAAGTAGTCAGGCAGAAATCACCAACAGCCCTTTCCTGGGGCCGGAAATCCCCTGGGATGGCGGGGACGCTCCCAGATAGGAGCAGAGCTCACGGGGCTCAGTTTGCGGCCGGTGACTAGGCTCCCTCCGGCAAACTTATCGGCCGCCGCAGGCCGGAGCCGCGGGCTATCTCGGTGCCCAGGTCCGGGGAGCCCTATAGGAGCCCCTGCAGTCAAGCAGCCCGGCCGAGGTCCCCAGCCCCAGCTGGCCCCCGCCCGCACCTCTTCCTGCAGCGGCCCGCCCCTGCCCCCGCCGGGAACCGTCTTGCACCGACGCCCGGCTCGCGGCAACTGCGTAGGACCGCCGGGTCCAGCTGTGCGCTCAAGCATGCGTCAGCGGCACGGAAACTACTAGACACCAGAGAGGCCAGCTCCGCCTGTCACCCGGGAGAGGGGGCGGAGGGGGGAGGCGGGGGACTGCTGCTGCAAGGGCTGCCGGGAGATGGGCGGAGCCGGCTATTTTGGGCTAGGACCCTGACGACGTCACCCGGGATCAGACTTGGGAGAGCGCTGCCGGCCCCCTCCAGCCTTGACGCGCTCGCAAAATCACAGAGGCAGGGACGTCCCGCAAACACCTCTCCTGGCCCCTGGTCCCTCTGTTGCTTTCCTGTAAGCATTCTCTATAGTCGACGGTTGCTCACCCCAAAGGAAATCGGCACCTCAAGGACTCACAGACCTACCTCCCTCTGGGTTAACTCTGCCCCCGTCTTCAGATCCCTGCTCCAGCCCAGTTCTCAAGAGGCAGCCCTGACTTCCCTGTCTAGGTCAGCTCTGCCTTTTAAAGCAGGTCATGGCGTCTCCTTCATTACACTTGTCAGAGCTACAATTATTAGCACTGGTTTGATTATTTGATTAATATTCGCCTACCTCACTAGAATGCAGAAATCACAGGGCAATGCTGTCTGTTTTTTCTCATTATTGTGTTAGGGCAGTAGTCAGGGTTCAAAAATATCCCCTGAGTGATTAAATAGTGAACAGATGTAAGTCTGTGTCTCCCTTCAGGAACAACCTCCACTGACAGTTTGACACATTTGGGGGAGGTGCGCTACAGTAGAAGGGAATGCTCCACATTCAAGATGTTTCTTCCCGAACTGATCTTGAGTAAGTCTTTTCTACCTCAAAATTATTCCTGGGTTCAGGCTTCATGGGAGGATGAAGGAACCTTCCAGAATTGGCTCCTGGTTGATACCATCCAGTCCAGCCCACAAGTATTAACTGAGCATCTTCTACATGCTAGATACCGCCAGGATGTGTGAAGAAGAATGCCGCCCAATCCCTGCCCTCACAGCACTCAGACTCAATGAGATGCCAGCCCATCAATACAGCCTCCTAGGAAACCCCAAGGCTTTGGAAACAAACCTGGGTTTACAACCTAGCACTGCCACTTAGTAGCTGTGTACTTGGGCAAACCTCTGAGGACTCAGTTTTTTTCTCCATAAATATAGCTAACATCTAGGATTGTTTGAAAATCAAATGAGACGTGGTACATGGCAGGTGTTATTAATACAAATTCTCTCTGGCATTGTGATTATTGTTATTGTGTGCCATTGAGTCGACTTCCAGCTCATAGCGACCCTACAGGACAGAGCAGAACTGCCATGTAGGATTTTCTAGGCTGAAATCTGTACTGGAGCAGATCACCAGGTCTTTTCTCCTGCAGAGCCACCTAGTGGGTTCCGACTGTTGAACTTTCAGTTAGCAGCCGAAAGCTTAACCATTGCGGATAATGGTTATGTGAGTCCAGAAAAGTGCTTTTAGCCTGGGTGGCCCAGGAAGGCTTCACCAAAGAGCAGGGCTTGAGCTGGATATGAGAGAAAAGGGTAGTGGTGTGCATCTGTTCAGTTTTCCTGGCTGTCTAGCATCTGAGCTGCCTGCCTACGTTTGGGGAATTCCCATTGCTTGGGCCTTCATGGGAGGCAGGCCACCACCTGCCCCAAATCCCTGACTCTTGCCCTCCCAGACTTCTAGGCTATAAGGGTGCAGGCAAAAGACATAAGCTCTGCCAATCGGCTACTCCAGCTGGGACTCTCAATCTGGAGCAAGGCATAGAGAAACAAGCAGTTGAGACTGTGTTACTGCAGTTGCTGCGGTGATGGCAGAGCCAGCAGCGCCCTCTAGTGTCTGGAGGAGGAACTGCCAACCTCAGTGCCAGGGCAGGGGGTAGGGTCACTGCAAGGGGCTGAGGGGACGGGGGTCTCCCAGGCAGGTTGTCCTTTGCGCTCACCTTGTCTGCCTAGCTTCCCGTAGTGGCTGCCTGTTTGCTGAGACTTGCTTGTCAGACCTCGCATTGATTCTGTATGCTCTTCTGTGTTTGCTTTTTAAATTCACCAGTGTTAGTTTTTGCTGTTTACAAGTCTCTTGACTGGCCCAAAGAGTAAGGCTCAAACTTGGTACAAGAAGAAGGAGGAGATTTTATTCGGTCACTCCAAAATCTTCCAAATCTCTTTATTTTTCTGACTTTTCAACGGACATTTGTCTAGCACTTACCATTTATGAGCTATTTTTAATAAAATATTCTTAATAGAATTGGAATACAAAGAGGTTTAAGTCATAGTCCCTGTACTCAAGGAGATGAAAATCTAGTTGGGAAATAGACAAATGACAACCAGGGAGAAATGATATTGAACACATCTATCAGAAAAAGGGTTAATTTACTATGTTCACAAAGAATTTTAACAAATTAACAAGAAAGGACAAATAATCCAATATAAAAAATGGGCAGGGGGCACATACAGAGAGTAAATACTGGCTTTCATTCCTAACAAGAGAATTAAAAATGAAAGCTGCAACAAAATACATTGTTTCACTTGTCAAATGATTGACAAAGATCAAAAAGTTTAATACACTGTATGGGCAAGGCCGTGGATACAGGCATTCTTACACATTGGTAGTGGGAGAGTCATTTGGTATAAACTTTACAGACAGCAATATGAGGTATATCAAAATTAAACATGCATAGTGATTCCAATTCCAATAATTTTATGACTACATTGTGCAAAGAAGTATGCACAAGGGTAGCAACATTCTTTTTAATAGCACTAGGTTGGAAACGACCTAAATACTCATCTATAGCAGTCTTGATAAATCAGTGATGGCACACTATGCGATAGAATACTATGTAGTCATCAAAAAGAGTGCGGCATATCTACATGTATGGATATGGACCATCTTAGATTTGCTGTTCAGTAAAAAAAAAAACACGAGGTATAGAACAAAGCATATATTAAATGTGTATACACACACATTTGTATAAACATAGAATATCACTGGAAGGAAACACCAACAAAAAATTTGTTAACAGTGTTGGCTGCCAAGAGAGAAACAAGATGCCTAGGGCAAAGGGAAGGGAAGGACTTATTTTCTGTTCATAAATCTCTTTGGTACCTTTTTAAACTTTGACCCATGTGCATGTAGTAACTATTCCCATACATGCATAATTTTTTAAAAATCTAATTGGGGAAAGAGGACATCTACAGGAAGCTAAGTGCTACCGTACAAGGCAGCCCATGCCAAATGCCAAGTAAGTGATAGAGACAGACTGTGGGTGCCAGGAGAACCAGAGGAGGGGGAGGTCCCCAGGGCTGGATGGGTTCTGGATGGCTGTGACCTAAGCTGGAAGGAATGGCAACGTTTAGACAAGCTGGGGGAGGTGGCATTCCAGAAGGAGGGAATGGTGAGAACGCAATTGTGGAGCAGGCATATTCCTGACACGTCAGAGGCGGGGGAATGAATTTGTTGGGTGGGATCCAAGGGTAGGGAACTTGTCTCTTGTGTCTGCTGCAGGAGGTAATTGTAGGCTGGCTTCAGGAGTGTCAGAGATGAAAGCATTTCCCTGCACTGAGGGAGTCCCCAGGAGCCAGGCAGGTGGCACTCCCAGCTGCCTCATGAAGTTCTGGGTCACCACCCTCCCCCCACCCATGCCCAGTCCAACCCAGGCCTGCCCGTGCTCACCAGCAGAGGCATATCTGGGAGACCTCGCGGGGTCTGCGAGGAGTTGGCCGTAGAGCCACCCAGGCTGGGCTGGCTGGTACAGCAGGTGATAGAGCAGTTTGGGCCGCCTCTCTGGAGGCTCAGCCATCCCTGCAGGTGAAGACCCCACTGCCCTCTCAGCGCCCTCTCCTGGCCTCTCCCTGACCTTCACCCCATCTCAGGGGCTTGCCTGCCATCTCCTATAAGATGTCAGGGGCCCGTTCCAGAGGACACTGACAGTCCCAAAACCTGGCCCCAGAGAAGCCTCTGCCCCCTGTCCAGCCCCAGAAGTTGGGTCCCCACATCTACCCTATATACGCACATGTGCCCTCCACCCCAGCACCCAGGCAGAGGAGTGTCAAGCGTCACCGCCTCCCTGCCTTCAGGGTGTCTGAGTCATAGTCAGGGTGTCATAGAACTACCAGGCGTCTGGAGGGGTGCCTGGAACTTCTGTGGCAGGAGGTGAGGGCACTTGAGGAAAGGGGAGGGTGGCAACATAAACTGTCCAGGCAGACCTAGGTTTCAATCCTGCTCCATTTAGTAGCTGGGTAACCTTGGGAAAGTCAGAAAGTTCTCGAAGCCACATCTATGAAATAGGCGTTCATTAACAAGTTTATTCAAAAAATGCTGACTGTTTAATATGTGTCAGGCAACATTCTGGGTGCTGAGAGTAGAACGGTGGAAAACAGTCAGGGCCTTGTTCTCATGGAGCTTCCGTTCCAGGGAGTATAATAGTTGCATTTACCTCAGGATTAAGTGAGATAATATGGATACACGTCCTGGTACATAGTAGGTGCTCAATACACGACAGCTATTTCTTGAAGTTTAAAGAAACTTAAAGGGCTACCAAGGTAACCCCTCACTCTTCCCAAGTTTGAAACCAGCTGAGAGTGAGAGAGGAGTCAGACGGAGATTTAAAAGTCAGCCTTTTTTGTGGAATAAAGAAGAATGGATTGGAGGATATACCTGAGATACTCAGCAAAAATGGCTTCTGAATAGTCCCTCTGAATTAAATTACCATACACACACACTTATACAACTGCAGGTCTCTGTCTTCTAAGGACCCAGCCTGTCCTGGTAGGCTTAAATCCTCAAAGCTGAGTTGAGAACATTTGCTCTCTCTGGGTAAATAACTCCGAAAGAGAGTGAAGAGGGTGACAAGCTGGGCATACCCAGTGTCTTCTCTAAACCACCCACCATCCTGTTGCTTCCACTCCATCCTC